AGAAGAAGAAGAAGAAGAAGAAGAAGAAGAAGAAGAAGAAGAAGAAGTAGTTGCCAGTGTCTCTCCTTGCTTTTAATAGTCTATATTGACTTATTAATTTAGTCAGTTCTTTAGTCTGTCATATTCCTTTCCATTACACATTCTTTTTATAAATTCTAAATTAATACTAAAGAAAAAAAAAACAAGTATAGGTTTCCCCCCTTTTACTGCTTTGAGTGGGACACCTCAGTGGTTAAAATATACCTTTATTCCCTCATCTTGATTCCCAATAAACCATTATTTTTAAGAAGTTACAATAATAATCATTACATCTTTTCATTTGGATTCCACAGCATATTTCCCCCCTTAATTTTTAATAAGAGTTATCAATATCTATATTACCCTATTTTCTAAATATTTTTAATTGCAGAAATATTCTTATTACCCCTTGTCACCCTGCAGAATCCCCTTTTTAATTCATCAACCATTATCTCTGAGAAAACAATTTCTTTTCATCATTTTACTATTTCCATATTTCTTTATTTCATGTACCTGTTTCTTGCTGCTTGTCCTTCCCCTCTTTTCCGCATATCTTTTCGCATTCCAGTTTATATCCCTCTCTTTCTTAATATCTTCCTTTCCCCTTTTCTGCTGGGTCTTTCTGCCTTTCCCGACTTCACAGGTATTCCCCCTTTTGATTGCCTTCTTAAGTTTCAACTTTTTAACCTTCCTTCTTTCCCTACTTCTTTGTAGTGTTCTTTGTGTTAATTGTCTATTTAAAATGTCTTCTCCTTGAGTCGACTCCTCCTCCTCTGAAGCTCTTTTTTCTTGTTCTTCAATTGCCATTTCCATTTTTTCTAACACAGAACAAAGTGATTCACCTCTTTCCTGTAGTAATTCTCTCATATTTTTAAGTTCCATTTTTAATTCCTGAAGAGATATCATTACACACTCTTGTATTTTATGATCGTTAAAGTCCACAAAAAAAAAAAAAACACTTTTACTTTCCTTCTTTCTTCTTTCAATTTTCTAAAGTTCTCAATTGTTCCAGCCCAGGGTTTATACCAAAAACATCAATCAATCCCACAGTCAGTCTTTTCTTGCTTTTTTCTTTATTCTAGTTCTGCTTTCACTTTCTCAGATTCTTACTTTGTTTCAATATTTCTTTAATATTATATCCACACAAGTTCATTCAGAAACAGGATACTTTCCATTTTGTTTGAGCTCAAGTTTTTGTCAAAAGGTGGCACTCTCCATTATACAAAGTCTTCACCTTTTCCCCCTATTTTTTTTATTTAGGGTTTTTCAAACCTCAATATTCCAACACAGTTCAGTCTCCAATTTGTAAACTTTATTATTATTATTTTTTTACAATCTTAAGTCCAGCTTGATTTTATGCCTGTTTATTGCCAAAATATTTTAGTCCAATTTAGTTAAATCTTTAATTCTGGCTTCTTCCTTTCCCAGTTTGAAGCCCTGCTTAGCTGTCAGAAATATTTTCTTATTTTTTTCCTGTCCCTTTGTAATTTCACTGCTCACTTTTCTTTTCTTAAAAAGTCCTTGTTACCTTAATCCCGGAGTACTTTTTGTTTGGTTGTTTCATCCAATTGTCCCAGCTCAGATGTTATCCACGTCTTTCTTCACTCCTGCACAAATCTTAGTCCAACTGAGTCCTCCTCTTCTGGGTGGCCATTTTAAACCACCGCTGTAGTTGTCTTCGGGGGGAAAAAGACCAAGCCCAGAAGGGGAGATGCGGCTCCCCTCAACCTGGCTTGCGGCTTCCTCTTACTCCATCATCCCTCCAAGGCAGCTTCAACCCCTAATCGTAATGATCGGGGCTCTCCAACGAAAGAGCATGGACCATAGCCACAGAGAGATGCGATCTACGATCTGTCAGTGAGGAGGCTCCGCCTTCTTTCCACCACATTTTGTTGTTTCAACGGGCCATGTAAAGAATTTCCGCATGGATTGAAAGAGGTTTGAGAAGTCAGGGAATTTACTGGAGAGGGATTCTACAGCACAAGATAAACATCTCACCCTTTCCATAATTTGAGCATTTCTGCTGTCAGCTCGTCAGTAATTCTCACATTTTCCAAAGAGATTTAAGGGGAAAAACTGGAAATTTAATAAAATAATACACATACATTAGAACTAGGCTTCACTGAATTATGAAAAGAAGCTAATCAGACAAACATGATTAATACTGGGTTAGTGTTTTAATAATATTTTCTAAAAGTAGTAGTAAATCTCAATACATTAATAGAATCTTCAGGTAAAAATTTATTATCTTTCAGATCTGCTTTTGATTATAGGCCAGAATTCATCTGAAGGCCACAGGCAACATTAGAAGCAGAGTGGACATTACTCTTCAGAAGCCAGTGCAAGGTTTTGCCAAAGACAATGAGGTATGGTTTCTAAATATGGTCATCTTTCAATACTCAAGAATGGTTATTAAGCA